TCAGCATTACCATTTAGCTCTATCATGATCAATTACAACCCAAACTACCCACAGGACCCAGCACAATGTGCTTGAGACAAGTCTATACAGACTAACCACGATTTTTATAGTATAGTAGCTTTACACTGAAAATCATATGTTTCAGTGAGCATTTCCCAAATAAAGTCCTTAGTAGAACAGAGTATTTCCCCAAAGGAAAAAAAAATACTTCAGGTGGTAGTGTTCTATTTTTCTGTTCTTAAACTTTCCCGATTCCTTCAAAGGGGGTCTGAGTTCACATCTTTACCATCCTCTGCAGTTTTTCTTTCTTTCAGGCAGCACAGCATCCTTCAGACTCATAAGCATGTGTAATCCATACCTACTGCTTGCTTTCTTTCAGACAAAGTATTTTGGGGTTGAAAAAAAAGCAAGATAGAAATCAACAATAACAACGTACTTGTAATTGAGATGTAAAGTGCATATAGTTAGCATAAGGCATCTTTAAGAGACCTGACACATATAATTAAAGAGAACTTTAACAGTGTGGAGTGAAGAACATAATCTTTAAGGTGTTTTTTTTTAACTAATTTCTACATGAGTAATTTTGGATAAGTAATTTCTCTCTTTCTGTTTCAGTTTTCTGCTCTTAGAAACTAAGCTACTAATAGGATTAACTGGAAAGTGCTAAGATGAATTAGTCAATATTGAAAACAAATTCTGGGATTAAAATGATATACAGGTGCCAGAAAAATGATTTCATGTAAAATCTGCATTTACCTAAGAATTTTTCAGCCCAAAAGAGAATACAGAGATTTGTTTCCTGGACAATGAGTCAAAATATTAATTGCCATTTCAGGCACTACTGAATGATGGTCTGTTTCAGGACTTCTCAGACGTCATCAGTAAGGGTTACTTTCCACAACAGCACTCTGACTACTGGAGATAAAAGTCTGTTTATTCCTTTTTCACAAGGGAGGAAAACAGTGACAAAAGCAGGAAGGCAGCAGTAAGGCAGAAATCTGGAGGTGATGATAAAGGATAGGGAGAATAGAGAAAGTTGCTCAAAGAAATTCTTTGCCAAAATCAGGCAGGTAACAACCAAATATGTGTGACATTCAGTTGAAGCGTGAAACATCATTTTTCAGTTTCATCATTTAAAACACATTTTAAATTTCAGTGGGTTTCATAAAGAGTTGTTTGAAACCCAGAACACAAACTGAAGTATTTCAAACCTTTTTAACACAGCTTTGTTCTGTTTCAGAGTTTCTTCTACAACCCTTAAAAACAGGAAAGGAGGCTGCATTTCTTCAAGTGCATTGCTGCCACACTCTAAGAAGTACACTTAAGTGATACTGATGTTGCTGCTTCAGTCTTTACATCTTGCAAGAGTTAGATTTAAGTCCAATAGCAAGCTGGCATAGTCCCAGGCTTTGAGAAGATTTTAATTAATGACAAATGGTTAAAAAAAAGATTGCATCTGAGAACAAGATGAAAACTGCGTAACAGAATGCAGTTAATGAATATATGGATATAAACATTAACTGTATGAGGAATAATTTAGATGCAGAAGCAACTAAAGAGAATTTTAACAACATTTCCCTTTGAAATAACTAGTTCCTGTTATTCAACTGACTGAATTGGAAGCACACTTTGGAAGACTGAAAGAGGAGCACGAACACAAACACACTGCCCCCTGCAGCCAGGTTTCTGTTAGAATACATCATGCCTTACGTAACATAATCCAAACAACGTGATTTTCCAGTAAGTTTAAGTGAGCACATAACACAGCTAAACAAGAATCACATTCCTACAACTCTGTGTCATGATGTCTTAGGCACTTCACTAAAAAGGCAAATATTAGCAAGAGTTAACCTCTCTTTCTACACCTTCCATTGTATCATTACTGTTCACCAAGGAAACACTTTCCCCCACTCTTAACAGCTTCAATTTCCACACCATTGCTCATCCCTCCTGTTTTTCTTACTCCTCCATTTCTTATTCTAAACCAGTTAGAATTTCTCTTTTCCTAGAAACTCGTTTCTAATTCACTGACACTTTCATTTTTATAAGCAATGTGATCTCTTTTGTAAGATGATCTTACCATTCTTACCAATTCAAGATGTTTTATCTAGCTTATAGATTACTAGATCAAAAAAAAAATTCCATGAATTAAGTCAAACTTCAAAAGAGGTTATCAATGCTTTGCAAATTTCAGAAATACTATCAATGGACATTAAAGACAGTAGCTAAAAAGCCAAGTGAATCAGAAGACAAAATAAATAAATATCTGTTAACAACTAGTAAATGGTTTCATTTATGAGACAAATTTTGATCAGATCTGAGGTTTCAGGTGGTGACCCAGATTGCTTCATTCTTGGGTACTTTGGGAAGGATGGAGAAACCAGCAAGCAACATAGCACTTAACTCACCCTGCAGAAGGACCAATGTCTGAATTAATCTAGCCAGAATCAGAATAGTGTGCTGTAGGAACCCTGCTATACTCCAGAAGTGAGATTATATCAATTAAAGCATCCTTCTATCAGTTGATGATGAAGCTTTCTCAGTAGACTAAACAGAGTTAGAATCAAGAAAGTTGCACTGGAAAACAGTAAAGCTTATAAGTTTTATTTATCATCCCAAGTTCAGTTCATTATCCTAAGCCAGAGTAATGTATCATTAAAAGGAGACTGCAAAAGGAGAAATTGTGTATATTCCCAAAAAGCAATTATTTTTCTCCTCTGGCCAACTACACAGAGTATCTCAAATCAAAGAACCACGCTAACATCAAAAAATTCTCAATTTAAATTGAACCAAGTATCAGGTGACAATCATTCTAAAATTGTAATTAGAAGAAAAAGAAATCATAAAAACTGGATCCAGGTTTTAACTATTTCAAGTATGCAACTTGAAGATTTAGGCCTGGATGTGTATGGTACACGTGAGAACTTCCTGCACCATCCATTCGTCTCATTTCTTTCTTATCGTATTTTATAAATTAAGCCATTATGACCTATAACTGGTATTTGTCAAACAAATAAATAAATACAGCTTGTTAAACAAACTTAAGCTCTAAGATAAGTGGTACACTGAAACAGTAGCACTGCACACAAGCACTGCAACAGTAAACTGTAAATGTCGTCCTCAAAATATTTCTGTAATTGTCAGCAGATAAGAACAATGCAGATTCCTGTACTTCTCCCTACACTGAATGACACAAACTGGTATTTTTAAAAGTGTACATCTCTAATATTTGTATCTAAGCAGCATAAATCTCTCAGCATATATCTAGAATAATATTTTAATACAGAAAATGTCTAGAGAAACAGGAAAAGCTTTTAAAAGCAAGATTTAAAATTATGATAATGCTTAAAAAGAATTCAATTTATTTAAGCGAATAGACTTCTTCCAGACTGCATGTATTTGTCCCAAATTGAAAAGACAATAAGAAGATATTCCAGTTTAAAAAACCAGTATTTTTCGTTTCTCAAGTCTCTCGCAGAGCTAATAGAGTAATGAGTGCTTGCAGACTTTTTATTACGAGGTGGATTCAGAGAGGAGCAAAAGCTACTCATAAAAACGTAAACCTTCATTTTCACTGTACTACACTGGTTTAAGGTTGACTGGTTCAGGTTTTGCTTTCTTGAGAAAAATTAACCTCTCAGCATTTGTTAGTAGGCTCATATATAGCTGAAAAAGTGAAACAAAAAACTTCATCTGCACTGCCTTCCTATCTGATCTTTTGTCTCATATGTTCCCCTTGGGGATGCATGAGAAATTTCTGTGAATAATTCATAAGTGCCTAGGCACAAACCAGCTTATCCCACTCAACAAAAACGTTGAGCAAGAGATGCTGCTTTGCTGGATGAAAGAGAAACTGTACTAATGGAGTAAGAATAAACGTGTGAGTGTGTATAAAATTATATAAACAAACATGTACAGTCATACTGGGGATGGCACCTTTGTAATTAAAGATATACATTTTTTTGAGGACATGATAGATTCCTACAATTCAAAGATCTAAGAAATCACATAGCTTGAAGGTGTACATTGCCTCATGTGAAGAATTCCACTTTTAGACTAGAATTAGAATGACAGGTCTTCCCTCTCGACCACAATGCCTAATTTTTCTGATACAATCCACTTTTATTTCCTAATGGCCCCAATATCTATGATTCTATGAATATTAGGTAGATGCAAATAATTTCTCTTTCCTGCAATCTGTTAGGATGCAAATACTCACAGTCTCCAGATCCTTTTCATGCTCAATGCACAGAGAAAAGAATAAAAAGCCAGAAAAGATTGTTCTCAAAACTATGAGGCTGCTCCAAAAGTAATGCTTCATTGCATTATTAACAATGCTCTATTATGTTTGCCCATAACGTCAGAGGTGAATGTTGGTGGTGCAGCAGTAGAGGCTGAACTTTCCCACCAACATTCCATTACTTTTCATTGCCATGTGATCAATGGCAGCAGAGGGGCAGTCTGACAAAACAGCATCTGACATGGGAGCACGTAGGAAGCAAAGGGGTGTTCCTCCACACAGAAGAATTATACAAAATTATACCCACTGATATTCATTTATGCTAGTTGAATGTTTATGGAGGTTAAACAGTGGATTAAACATAGTGAAGCAGTGGGTGGTGTGTTCCAGTAGTGGTGACAGAAGATCACCTCCGCTGGTACAGATTTTTATGACAATGGCATGAAGGCTTTTGCTCACTGCTGGCAAAAATACACAGCTAATTGGTGGTGACTGTGTTAAAAGTAGTTTTTTATAGCTGGGAATTTGTTCTACCAAGAAGTGTCATTGTGCTCTTTGTATCTGCTGTAGTTTCCATGGACATAAATAGGAGGCATCACTTTCAGAGTGACCCATGTATTTTGATAATAAGAGTATAGGTTCTAATTAGATCTGCAACTCATATAAGCTATGTGGTAGCCATACCAAGTTTGTTAGGGTTTCCCAATCCAATATCACTAGTGGCAACAGAAGAATCTACCAATATGAACTCAAGACTTACCAGCCGCTGCATGCTTTTCACATGAGTAGGACTAATAGATAAGGCCTCTTCATACCAGCGTTTGGCTTCATCAATATTTCCACGAAGTTCAGCCACCTGACCTCTCATGTAAAGCACATAGTGAGACACTGGGAAGAGATTAGCTGCTTCCTGGGTGCATGCAGTGGCCTCAGCAGGCTTCCCAATTCCTATGTAGACTTCAGCTGTGGAAGGAAAGAGTAAAGACCAATGAACGATTCCTGCATCATCATACCATGACCAGATGAGTTAACAAGTGCTTTGTCTGTACGTATTGTTTCATAACAGGCAAAGGCCATTTTCCTCAAGAAATTTTTCAGCTTACGAGAAACTATTACATAAATTGTTTTAAATGGCAGCTTTAAACACCAGAAAACCCTCTGTGATCTTTTTTAAACTCTTTGCGGTTATTTTTAAATGAAGTCTGTGATTTTTTACTTTATTTTTAAACATGAGTGCTGCAGTATTCTGATATAATTAAAGAACAGTAAGCCCAACACAAAACTACAGAGATCCTTACAGAACGTAAGAACATGGTACCAATAATGGGCTTTTCTGAATTCCATATCAGCCATTAAGAAAGAAATAGCAATTGCTCCAATTACCAATCATTATATGTCAAGTCTGGTTCAGCATCCTATTTCAGAGCAAAAATCTTCTTAAAGAAATACAATGCATTTGATGAGAAATGTTTCCTAGCTAAGGTGGCAGAACTGTGAAATGCTTATTCAGCACTGACAGAACTTTGTTCAAATCTCATAGATGCAAAGGGTGTATTTAATTTAACATAAATCACTCCTGAAGAAAGCATGGGATAGCTTGACAGTTGTCTGAATCAGACTGCTTCCAAGTTAAGATACACATTTCTTCCATCGTAGTACAGACCCAAAAAAACCCGAGCCTCAAATTGTATGACTGCATTCTATTGTATCACACTGTACAAAAGAAGTCTTAGATATTAAGAATTAAGTGAAAACATTCATTAGAACAGTGAGGCCAGCTCCCCCTGTTCAAGACACACTTCTTTCACTGCCCAGTGTAGGGTGTCCATCTTGGGTTAAAGGCTGTGAGATCAGTATCTCACACCACAGGAGTGGATTTTGAGTTGTGCTGGACCTCTGGATGGGGTTGATGCTGGTCTGCCTTTGAAGGAGCTTCCTTCTGAGATAACTGCATCAAACAGATTTGCTAGTTGGTATCTGTTATCAGTCAACTTCAGTACAGTACAGTGTATCACCTCCATGCGATATGTTTATATTTTATTTCTTGCTAACATCAGCATACATACATATTTCTATTTGTTAATATTTAAAATCATAACCCATTTATAACAATGACTAACAAGAAACAGACTTGCAGTATTAGATTAAAAGTTATATTCATTTTTTCCTTGCTTCTCACTGATATCTGTTGAGTTGCTGGAATAATTACTGCTTTTCACTTGGAGACCTGATCCTGGTGATGAAGAAGAAACATTTTTACCACAAGAGCACTCTTTTCTTGTTGCTTGGATGACTCAGTGATTTCGCAGAACGCATTCTACCTAGCATAAATAGTATATCCACGTGGACATATGGATGAATGCAGTGCATTTTCAAAAGCAATTTAATAAAATTCTTTTTCATGGAAAAATCTCTCAACTACTCTGAATAACTAACACACAAAACTGCAGATCCAGAAATGGAACCAGATTTAGTCAGAGATGGCACTACATAACTGGAAAATAGCAAATCTGGAAGATAATGAAGATACAAAATTTGGAAATCAAAAGCTAATGCTGGGAGAAATCCATTTTTCCTTGAATTTTACTATTCTAACTGTTGGTAGACTCCAAAATTGAAGTTGTTGCCATAATCTGAGAATAAAATGTGAATTCTACTGTGAGGTTGTTTCATTGTTGTTATTTTTGTTTTATATATACTTATGTATATATCTGTATATATATTTAAAGCTCTGAGTGGTTCATTTCTGAAGTGCTTTTCCAAAATCTGCCTGTCAGTATTACTACAAAATGAACAAGATTTTAGTGGGAATAGAATACACTATATTATTGTAGTGCAATCCACTTGGCCTCTCCTTGTTTTATTGTTTCTTCTCCAGTATCAGACTTGAAACACTTTAAAATAAACACTCCCAACTTGCCAATGAAAATACTGTTAGGAAAAATGTAATTTATATGTTGTGATTGATTTAAGACAAAAAAGCCCACAAAAACAAAACAACAACAAGCAGCTTATTCAACATCACCCTGAAAGCACTTATGAGCACTTATGAGATCTGTGGTTCATACTTTCAGTTGTAAGGTAAGGGAGAAGGAAGCAGAAGCATAACATGAGGCATGCACAGAGACCTACTGGAACAGTCTATAAAAGGTGCTGAGTAAAAGCTATAAAAATCCGCAAATAACATGCAGAAATTAATCATCTACTTAAGTCATTTTTATCTGCTACCACAACAACTGAAAAGTAAAAAATACACATTGTTTGGCTAATTTAATGGACTGCAATTGGAACTTTGTGTTCCTTGAGAGGATACAAGTAGGGAAGCAACTCGGGCTTTTCACACTAGCCAGTGCAGGTTACAACACTGCTTATAAAGATACTGTTCTGCAATATAGCACAGTAACTTGACAATTATTAAAAAGTCTCCCTAAAATGTAATTATTTAAATAATTCCCTTCTGTACAAAGGTACTTCATGTTATGCTGCTACGATTCTGCCAGAGTATACACTGGCCTTCTCCTATACAGTACCTTAAATCCTAGAGAGCATTGGAAAACTATGAAAGAATGAATAGAATGTGGAACTTCTGGCTAGCTGTTAAGCATAAGAGTTAATCTGAGAAATTTCTGCATCCGGAGCTGTTTCTTTCAGGATAATTTCATGTGACGTATACAAGACAAAGTACATGCCTTAAAATACAGAGCAGTTTATTTAAAATAGAAATTACTTCAAGCTGAGAAAAAAGTTACAGAACAACATGGTAATTTCAAATAAATCAGTTGCAGAAAATTGACAGTGCCAGGTGACTCCATAGGAAAATTTCAGAGAAGAGAAACAGTTTGACGAGAAACCAGATGCCAAGGCTGACGTTCCACTTCTCAGCGTCTGCCCTCTACACTCAGAGAATGTCCTCAAGCCCCTCCGAGCTCAAACCCTTCCAGCATTATGCTTCTATTTTACCAGCAAAACAATCTACTTTTCAGTCAAGCTCCACAGCATTGCTGAGTTCAGTCTTAACGCATTTCTTAGAGCAACCATCACAGCCATTAGTAATTTAGGGTCAGATCTGTTTCTAATATCATTACACTGAAGAATGCACTAATTGCAAAAGTTTTGTTTTGCTTTCGTATTTAAAATAAGTCTGAACTTCTGCTTTTACGTTGTCTGCCCAGAGATGAAAGGCTGAAGGAGTTCATTTGTAAACACAAGATGAGAAACCTAAAGCCAGTTACTGTCTGCAGAATCAACTTCTTCAGACTGAATGCCACATTCATTTATACTCATGACAACTGGAATGACAGTTTATATCAATATGAAAAAATATTTTATCTCCCTCCCCATTGTATATAATAGTTCAGGTAAATACATGCCTCTAAAACTTATCTTGTCATACCTGCTATTCAGGTATAACTTCTTCATGTCTCTATAACCCAACATCCTCATTAAAAAAAAAAAAAAAAAGGAAAAAAAAGGAAAAAAAGCACATTAAAGATTTTTTTCTCCATTAAGAAGTAAAACAATACATATCTATGCAGGAAGCCAAACAGTAAGCATGGCATGATTTTCAAAAAGCAAGCGATTTCCCAATGGTAAGTCTTCATTTTTATTTAAAGAATGAGTGTTGCAGGTTAGGTGTTAAGTAATCTTATGGTGGCTTTCTATGAAAATATCCCGTATACACAGATGAAGATACCTTTATCTGCTTTGTATGGTGCTTTTTGGAATAAACTTTATTCTGAGTGAATGTTTCTACAGGAAAGAAAACTCCTCTGAAGACTGACAGCAACTGTCCTTCATCTCCTGCTTGATTTTTGCTTTGCTTTTTTCCTTTCATTAATCACTACAGACAAAGAGTTAGGGCACTCTTTACAATTTGCTGTGTCCTTCCTCTGGATCTTTAGTATTTATTTTGCTCTGCTCCACACTTCACTCCCACTTCTCACCTACGCTTCCTCCTGCTGGGATGAGACTATGGCCTACAGACCATGCTCACACAGATAGGAACTTTTAAGAGAGGAAAGTGAACTGTGCAACGCAGCCGAAGACCAAGCCGCAGACTACAAAGAAATCAGCAAAGAGCATCCCTTCTGGAGGAAATAGCAGCAGTCATTTGTGTGGACTGAATGGAATGAACTCTGTGGAAAGATTAGGGATTACAGCATTGCAGATGCTAAGAGTTACTGTAGATGGCTATCTGTGTTGGTTTATAAATATTTACAATCAGAAAGGCCATTATGCAAGGCAGGTGACTACAGCATGCCTTGGTAAGCCCCGTCCTGTTTTTAGTCTGTGTGGCCTTGGAGGAACATTCCCTCCCCAAATGAGGTCAGTTATCAATCACTACCATTGTTCTCCCCGATCTCCTGTTGGCATCTGGAGTTTTTTTCCCCTGAAACAGTAATTAATAACTGGGAGCCATTGCTCTGTAATGACCTTCACATAAAAGAATTGTTAATGCAAAACATGTAAATTAAAATGCCAAGAAATGCAGTACTGTATCTAGAACGTAAACAAGAGTATTTCTTATTAAAAGTAATTCCCAAATGATTTGAACTCCAGCACTTTGGAAAATAATATACAACTCTTCCTGACAGAAAGCTTAGCAACATATATACAAGATGAAATATATCTTGGAGTGTTTTTAACACATGGTTACCATTCACAGTAAACATGATAGGAAATATATCATGGCTATACAGTATACAGTGAATATAATGAAAAAATAGTTCTGTCACTGAAAAATGCTCGAGTCTGAGAGCAGAATTAAATAAAAAGAATAACTGCTGATTGATTTCTGAGTAACACTTTTCTGCTGCAAGTATCAATCAAAACAAATGCACAGTAATAGTGTAACATTGGTAACAGTGTAAAAATACATACACTGAGGCATCATTATCTGATTAAAAGTTTATTCAGCAGTCACTTGTGATACTGACTTACCCTGTAGCCTGAGCCTGGAAGCAGTGTAACAGTAACAAACCCACTGGAGATCAAGGGACATTCAGACACATACTGGGTCTTTCACATCAATGAAGCCAGAAAGAAGAGAGCGGAGCAGCTGCCACAGCTGCAGTGGACAAGTAAAAGGCTGCTACCTTTTTTTTTCCTGTCATGTACAGAGTTAGCAATAAATGAGATGGGAAAGAACAAGAAATATTTTCCTTTCATGGTACCTGCATGAAGCCATATTTGAGCTAGCGTCATCCAAGGATGCAGGGGACCTTGTTTAGGGGCACTGCTTTGCAGAGATGAAGCAACTTCAGACAGCGCCTGCTCCACTCTGGAAGCTGCTATTGAAGTCGCATGGATCGAACCTGTACAAGTAATTTTGAAAAATTACAAATCAGAAAAAGAATAGAAGTCAAGCATGCTGCATAAAACATTTAATCATAAGCCTTTTCATAACAGGTTTTTCCCCAAAGCCCTTTATGTTCAATTTACATGCGTCATTGTGGAGAATTTTTCAAAATGGCAGGTTAATTTTCCCTGTTACAAAAGCTTTTATACTGTTCCATAGGATTCTATGCTGAAAACACACTCGACAACATATTTGTGTTGCTGCTCTGGATATTCTCTGTTAAGCTCATTGTCTCTTTTATCGCAACCTATGATCCAAAAAAAGGCTTGTGATGGTATCGTAACACTGTAATCTTCAGTTAGCTACATGCACTTTGATGTTAGTAATTGCTATGTCTTTCCATAGCGTGCAATTAGATGACTATTTTAAGACTAATAATAGCATTAGAAAAAGAATTAAAATATACAAGATGATCACAACAAACCCCAGCACAAATACACAATTAAACCTTTCTGAATGTAAACCTCAGCTATTCAGGAAGACTGAATCGAAATGCCTTCTGGTAAAAAACCCCTTGCAGGAAGAACATACCCAAAGTTGCCTTGGGTAATTCCCTTAATACAAAGCATTTACAAGTGAGATTAGAACATTACTGGCAAATACTACCTTTTTCCAAGTATTGGAAATGAAAAATCTCCTAGGACAAGAAATTACCTAATGACAATGGTACTTTGTATATCCAGTTACTGACAGTATTCTTAGTTTTGATATAAAAAAGTTGTTTTTTTTTTTTTCAAATCAAAACCATGTTTTTTTTTTAAGTTATGCTCTTTGTCATCTAACCTTTAATGCACCTCTTGTTTTATGATTACAACTTACAAAATCTCAGATTGACCAGGCCCTAGTTAATAAATAATGGAAGTAAAATATTACATATTGAATCTGGTAGGAAGTCTTCTAAGCTCAGTCACATATCTGTAATGGTCAACAATGGCAGGTAACTCAATAAAAGTCCTGAATCCTGTACAGATCGAAGGCACATCTCCCACAAGCTCAGCACTAACAGTTAAACAATAAATAAAAACTTCACTCTTGTTATCACAGGTTTTCTGAGAAGGTTCCCACATGAAGCATGCATTCTTACATACAACAAGATACCAGCAGATTAGAAAAGTAGGAGTTCTAGTACACAAATCAGTTGGAAGGGAAATTTTGTCTAAAAGCACACATCATGTGTTTGTCACCCTGAAGACAAAAACAAGGAATACCAGCACAGGACATAACAGTATTTCTTAGGCTGTTTTGAACAAGGAATTGCCAGAGACCTGAAAGAGTATCTGGCTATGGAGTTTGCTTTCCTCTGCTGGTTAATGAGAGAATTCGCACTGTAGTCTGCATCCCTGAATATTCACTGAGGTTTCTGTATATCTTATCTTAAAGGCTTCCAAAGAAAGGCAAAATGGAAGTCTAAGTTTAAAGACTTAAGTCTAAAGAAGCATGTGGAGCATATTTGAAAAGAAGCATCAACCAAAGGTACCATAAATAAACTCTAGTCTCCCCTCCGTGTCTGTAAATGCATGCCACTGCAGCCTGCCACCTGCTACACCTCCACTGCAACTCATAGCAAAGGAGTCTCTTCAGCAATTTAGCAGTTTTTTTTTTGTTTGTTTGTTTTTTTTTTTAAAGGTGTGAGTTGCTGGTGGAAAGGATATCATCTTCTAATCCCTTCCTTCTGAGAAGCAAGTGTTCGATTTATTATTAAAAAAGACCTACATTTTCTGTAGTCTAAGGCATGGACTCTGGTTACTAATCAAACCACAAGTGCTGCTACATTTTAGGTATCCAGTATTTATTTAACCATAAAAGATAAATGGTACTATATTATTATAACTTGCTGCATATCAATTTCTACATAGAAAGAACTATAGTGTGATAAAATTTCTATGATAAGCCATGCTATGAAAGTATCTCCACCTACGCCACAGTTAAAATGGAATGCATACCAAATATTTTCTATGGTAATTAACTGGACTTTATAGCAGAATAAAAAAAGTCTCTTAATGAAAAAATATGCATATATATTCCTATGAGATTTATTTCATAAATTGTTATTAAAGTGGCTTGTTATGAAAAGGGGTTACAGGCTGTCCAGAGAAGCTGTGGACACTGCACCCCTGGAGGCATCAGAGCCAGGTTGGATGGAGCCCTGGGCAGCCTCATCTGGTGGGAGGCAGCCCTGATCACGCGGAAGAGGGATAGAAGTGGGTGGGATCAATGTCCCAGTATTAGGCTTCAGGAGTCTCAATCAAGCCACTAAAAATATTCACCTCTCAGCTTTCACTAAATTAATACAGCTGATATAAAGATGTATTATATATTCACCGTGAACATTTAACAATCTAAAATTCAACATGTGCCAAGTAACTTAACTTTTTAGAAACTCAGATTGCAGATTATTCAGCATGACCAGCTAAATTTAAGTCATCTCTAAACAACATCCTAAATAAGAGATTTATTTTAGCTTAAGTTTGAAAACCGTATTTTAAGCAGAATACAAAGTAATGATGTAACATTCCACAGAGGTATTTGGAAAATCCAGCCTCTGAAATCCACCATGCTTTAGTCTTATTTAAAAGCCTCAAAAACTTAAATACTTTAAACAGCACAAAAGCACCAATGCTTGTGATTTATTTTGTTTCTTTAAAAATCTTCCTTGCATTGGCTTAAAAGTCATCAGGCATATGGCTATACAGTTTCCAAAAGGACAGCTGACTTCCAGATCAGCCTTGTATGTCTAATAAGAACAGTCACTCACCTTTTATCACAACTTTGCACCTTTATTTTCTTTTGTTAAATAAAATAAAGAATTTGAAATAAAACAATTAAAAATATATATATTTAAAATAAATATATTTTACTTAAAAAAATAAAGTAACCACAGTCTTTTCACAGTGCCCAATTTAGGCATCTTTCAGGTACACTGCACCCATATTAATAGCTCTAACCAAGAAACTCATGAATGCTTCTTTAGCGTTGCCACAATTAGGCAACATCTGACTTATTTCTAACTCTGCGTATTAAAAAGACAGTGAATGAGTCTTCATTCTGTACATAACCAAAGATCATCTGAAATCATCTCCTGTGTGCTAAAAGCTTCAATTAGAAGTGATGAGGATATACAGAGGTTTGTGAGGTAAAAAGTGAAGCTTAAAGTGTGCTTGAGGCTTCAATATGCTGGCAGTTCCCTGGGCTGCCCGATGGCTTTGTTGTAAGTTCTCTCCCTTCCCAACCTTACCTGTATTATTCTTATCTCCGTTCATATTTTCAAGCATATCTTCACTACAATAGCTATAACTCACTTAGCTGTATCTTCCTTCAAATGCTCAATAGAAATCTCTTGTTTGAAACCTCACCATATCTTAGAAGCACACAAAATTCTTGATGTTCCAAGACATCTTCTAAACCTGCTATTACAGCATGACACTTAAGAATAAAGAAAAAAAAATCCCTTAAAAAAACAACAACAACAAAAAACCACAGGCAGCAGCATGTCTCTTTTGGGATGCAAAAGAATAAGGTGTGAAATCAGTAAGTATAGCACCAAAATTGATCCCATCTATTCACTTTCAAGCCCTGAGGCTTACTTACGCTAAATGGGAAAATAGTGAAACAGGGATTGTCTTAGCAAAATCTAGCATACATTATTTAAATTATTTACTGACTGAGATAGGGAATAACAATTACATTGCACATTGCAAAATGGGACAGAATGTTTCTAAACCAAAAAGCTTCCTGTAACATTTAGCCAGAATTCACAGAATTTCTGCTCACCACACTAGCATAATACGTGCTAGCTATATGTGAATACCTGTTTATGTGAATGTTTCAATTCAATATCATAAACCCTTCTTGCCAACAGACTTGTACAAACAAAATTTAATCAAGAAGTAAAGCAGTCTCACATGGAACCCTTTGTTTTCCAAGATACTCCTACAGATCAATTTCCATGAACACCGAAGTGCTCAATTCACTTCTCTTTAGGCTTTTCTCAGGATAAATATAGGAAAGTCTGATCTTTTAAATATCAACTATAAGTCACACAATGTAAACAGAAAGCACGTCTTGACTTTTTGTGTTCTTTCCTTGGTCATTCCCCCAGAAATTCTTCACCATGTTGCCTAAAAGATATGAACTAAGATATAGACTCAATCAGAACTTGGAGAATCACTACCACTAAATCAATTTGCATCAAATTTGCCATCTGAGAATGAATAAAAGAAAACAACATGGATGACATCTTTCATGAAACAGATTCATAACAAGTGACAAGAATACCAAAAAAGGATTTCTTTTTATATCACAAAAGTACATAGCAAAACAATTTTACATTTATCATGTTTTCAATCAACATTTCAGCATTTATATAAAGGAAAAAATGCTTCAACAGCAATGCTCATGCAGGAATGAGGAGGAAAAAAAACATGTGACTGTCAACTACATATTCACGCAAAGCTGCCAGTAGGAACATTAGTGGTGAGGCATAGTGAGAACTGTGCTAAACAAAGCAAAAACAGAAAGCAGAAAGAGGCAGCACCTTCTGCAGGATGAAAACAACACTGAAATGATTCATTCAATATAACAAATTGGCAGGTTTAGTCAACATTTTTTTTTTTCCTATCAAATTAATTATGTGTCTTAGATACCTTTCACAATAAAAAATTACTAATCTAGCTGAACTTTCAATATGGATATACATGGAGATATGCTGTATGCATATGGAGGTAGGGAAGTATGGACAATGTCATTTACAGAGTATTCTTCCACCTCTCTGAAAAACACACCTCGTGATTTGTCACCATCAAACATGCTGTTTTACATCTCTTCTTATCTTTTTTAAGGCAAACAAATTCAAACTTTACTATCCAAGGCCAAATGTACAGCCTTATATTACTGGTTAGAAGGAAAGAATGTTGTTTTTGCACCTGGGTTAAAGCAGAAATTATTTTTATTGATCCA